TTCTAATTTCTGAAATTGGAAATAACATCCAACCCTAAATTCAATCAATTTTTACTCCTAACATACAAAGATTTTAAAATAATCTTCATTTTTCTCAAAGCAGCAAAACGTTTCACCGACCAGGTCAATATTTTGGAAATACAATCAATTTCCATAGATTTCAAGTAAGAGTTCTCAAAGAGGGTAAATTTTAGTGATCAAATTTGAGAGGCAAAAATGGGCTTGAAAGTATGCACTCCACGATAGACTTTGTTTCGATTTTCGCATGCAGCGGTGAAAATAGCAATTACACGCTCGCATTTCCCGCTTTCCGCCTAAACTGTCGCTTAACGTTCCAAATCTCCGAAATCCTGCAGTTTTAAGCCAAACGTTGAGACACTCACTGAAAGAATAAGTTTCGTACAATTCACCTAGATTAACAGCTTGTAATTTGATCTACAATTGCTCATTTCTTGACGTTTTCTTATAACAGTCTCCTATATTGTACCTTCACACTCTTACAAACTTTATGACCCCGTCACCCGGAAGTGGCGTGCAATTGTTACGTTTGTCCGCTGTGAAGTTCGCGAGCATCTCTGCCAGCGGTTAGACTTATCCGTCCCAGCTCAGTCCCTTATTCATAGCAGCGTGTGCCAGTTGTCCATAACAGTACTTACCTGTATCTTAACTTCGTCACAGGTCTTTTTTGGCTCATCTGGCCATGACTCCCTAAAAGATTACGTGAAAAGAGAAAAGAAAGTAACAAAATTACGAGAAATATAAACTGTTTTTTCTAGGGAAGGAATATGTAAGAAGACTGAATGACGTGGAGTTTCGTCCTTGAGAAGTTCAGTGCAAACGCGTCGCCAAAAATTAACTAAGAAAATAAAAATTACAGTATTTGCGGAGTACGAAAAATTTGGGAGGGAAATAGTCAACCCCCAACGATTGCAAACTGACGCTAGGAGAAGAATTTTGAGTGAGAAATGATAAGAATTTAGCAGAAAAACGGCTACACTTCAGACGCAAGAGATTATATTATCTTGTCAGAAGCCAGTGTAGCTGTATTGCATGCAAAGTCTGGAAAAGCAAGGTCTGTTGGGGGCTACCAGATTAGAAAAGATAGATAAAAGTCTTGTTTTCCTGGCAGTTTCACGGCTGTTGTCATCTCTTTGTTCGGCCTCGAGGGTAGAAATAATTCAACGCTTTTTGCTTTACCTTTTAAGCAGTTGAACTGCTGTAGTTTTTTCCTCCTGGCCGGCTTCGCCTTTCTGGGAATAATTAACAACAGGATGTTAAACATTGTTTCATGTTTTATCAATTGATTCCAATCAAAGATTTTGCAAACGTTTCAACAACGTTTCGGTTGATTCTGAAGAATTTCCAGAGGTTAACCGAACGTTTTCCAGCAAAGACAAAACATTCCAGAAGACTTACGACCTACAACAATCCCATCAGACCATTCGCTGCTTTTACTTCGTTATCATAGTAACGTTTCGTGGTAATAAATTCTATCGCAAAATTATCCAAACCAATCAGAAAACTCTTCAAGAATCTTTTACCAGAAATAATATTATAATTATTGGTATAGTTTATTTCTTATTTTTATTTTTACGATTGTATGCTTCATCTTTTACTAGTTCGCGCAACAAGTATTTTCCCAATGTTCGCAAATTCTGCAATTACCTTGCAAAACTGAATTTAAGATCTTTACGCTATAAAAAATACACGATTTAGAAAACAAATTGAAAAGCAGATCTATAGTTTTTTTCTGCCTGAAGGATCGAAATCGGACTAATATTTTCGAAATAAGCTTATATGTGCTTTCTCTTTCTCATGTCTCATTTGAAAAAAAGATCCATTCCGAGTTTTCGCTCGCGATCTTTTTTTATTTTTAAGTGTTAAAATGAAATTATTTTTTCCTTATGGAAGTACTTTGGACGTCAATAATACGTTTGAACTAAACTTTCTATCAGATGCGCTTCTAGACTTAACATTGAAGAAAGCATGACTGTACACTGACAACAAACGCTTCAGTTCTACGAGGCAGAAAATGCGCGTCTCGTCTACTTGGCAAAAAAACAACAACAACAACAAAAAAACCCTCTGTAAACTAACTCTGTTGAATTACCTGACTTGGTGCAGCCTTCTTCTCGGCCTCCGAACAAGGATCAACTTCCTTTTGCTCCGGTAGATTCACTGAGGAGAAAATTCACCACGTCTTCAGTAAAACAAAACCTCAAATAACAGCTCGAAATTCAGATGAATTTTATGCGTAAAAAATGCAAAATTGAGAATTCAAAGAAAGCAAAAACAAAATTGACTTCACCTTCTTGGATAGCAGCCATAGTGTGTTACTCTCGATGCCGTCTAATTCTCGTATTTGTCGCAAATCAGCGCTCCAAATTTCAACGCAACTGACTCCTTGTAAACCCAGTCTGATTCTGATCCGCGAGTTTACATTCATGACGTAATAATGGACTACGCGTGCCTTATAAGGCAAAGCGCGCGCTTGCAGGCACAGTTCTGTCACGCAATCTTTTCCAATAACGAAATAATCACGTCGTTTTTCAGTACAAAAGATTTGAAGCTCGGAAAATACTTTTAAGTATTTACTTTATAAAGTAATATTGACAAAAACAATTCTATTGCCGCAGTTAACAAAGCTCTTCAATTAGTTAGTAGTTTAGCAGTTTTTCATGCATGGATCGGAGTCCTTCATATGCCTCGGGAGAATTCTTGCAGGTTTTCTTAATCGATATCCTGCTTTCTCCATTTCAAAAACAAAGACGTAGAAAAACAACTGTTCAAATATTGCTCTATCTTAGTCAAGCGAACTACAAAAAAATGGTTTATTCGAAGGCGTATCTATTCGGTGTTGTAAAGAGAGAGAATTCGAACTCAAAAAGGAAAACGATACGCGACAAACGGCTGGTCTCAGTTGACTACATTCGTATTTCTACTTTTTCGTTGTGAAATAAATTTCATTGTGAAATTATTAGAGTGGAAACTTCCAAGTTAGAAAAACAACTTGCCATAGACTGTCAGTCACAGAAAGCCAGCATTTTGCGAAAGTTTGAAGACAGCATAAAAATCAATTCTGTGAAATGAAGTTAGCTTTTACCGACTTTGTGGTTTTCTAAGCTGTGATTCTTGAATGAAAGAAAACACTGTTATGAAGACATTTTCAAACTAAAACTTATCGAAACTAAGTTTAGTTTAAGAAGAACCGTTAAACAGGGCTCTCGGAATTCTCTACGAACTGCTGCAAAAAAGAAAATCTCAAACTTACCCAATTAGTTTACAAGAGAGCATTCCTTGGACACTGTTACTGCCGAGATAAAATTCAAATTTCCCCTTCATTGAACAAATCTCTAAAGCTTTGTAAAAGAGCTTACGTTTTCCTGTTTTCCAGCTTTAAAACTGAACCAAAGAAAGCTCTGCGAATCCCTCGGCCTAGTCGAGGAATGGCTCGCGTCGAACCCAATCCCACTCCAGGCAGTCATTATCTCAAATGTTTTTGCTCCCATGCGATTGGTGCGATTCACGTCACGTGACTGAATTTAAAGGCACAACCCAGAAGCAAAAGTTCGCCGAACCGAACATTTTAAAAACGCAGCTTTATTTTTACGATTAGGCTTACCTTCCACACTAATCCGAACCGAAAACGGAGCTTTTCGAAACGCTCTTCAAACCAGAGAAATTTGAAAAACGCCGGCTTTGCGTTTTAGTGTGGCTGAAAACATTTTGAAAACGAAGGTTTTAGAAAATGATAAAACATCAGGATAACCATGTGATTTCCCGGCCCGAGTTTTCTTCAAACACAAATCCAAAATGACTGATGATTGTTGCGTTTTCAACTTCTTCACCGTAGTGTGGACGGAAAACTTTTGATGCGTTTTCAGAATGAAAACACCGTTTTCAAATTTCTTCCGCGTACTGTGGACGGAACCTAAAACTACTATTTTTAGAAGAACGTGAATCATTGGAGTGGCTATAAGTTATTGAGACACCAATCTCAATATATTCCCCAATTTTTAAAAGAGCCCGCGCGCTGCGAAAAATATTTGAACGATAATAAACTCAATAGCCTTCATTTGGCGCATATGCTCATATATTTGTCTTTGGACATTACTAGATCTCAGTTTAAGGTCTTAAAAAACGCTTTTTTTCCCTTCGCAGTTATAAATATTGCCTGTCAGGCCATTTCCTTAGGCGTACGGGCACCTTTAGACTTGGGGTCGGGAGGGGGTGGGGTGAGCTTCTTGCCCGAAAAAATACACAGTGCCGAATGAGTGAGTGTTGAAATCAGGATACAAACGCACTCAAAGAACAGTAAAATCAAAAACGTTCACAATCTGAAACTGTTATGATCCCCCAAAATAGTTCGTTCGAAATCTCGCACACTCAATGCCTTCGATCGACAGCTTGGTAAAAGCAGAGACTTTTTCTAAACTATTTCTTCCTTATACGAAAATTTCAAGAAAAATTTTAAGTTAAAAGAACACTGAGGATGCTCTGGGGACGAGAATGGGATGTAAATAGCTCGTTTTCAGAAGTCTGTCCAAATTCTGTCCATTGCGCGATAAATACGAGAAACACGAAACACGCTCGCGCAGTCGCTCGCACTCAAGTGACAGATGAAAGAGTCTCGCAACCCAGATCTCCCACAGCTAAACAGCACCATTAAACAGAGCGAAGCCTGGGTGCCAGATTAAGAAGAAAGACTGGTACAGGGTGATCGTACAGGGTGTGCATTATACAGACCATTCTGATTGATGGCAAAATTGATACATTGGAAATCAGATAAGAACCAACACTAAAATTTGTTTTTATGTTTTCGGGGAATGTGCCATTGTGTTGTGAGGGCAAACCACATGCAATTTGATTTTATCACCGTTGAGTTATCTACATGTACCATCACAACTCAATCAACGTATCAAAGAAAAAAGTAAACAATGAACTTGTCAAAGTGACAGCAATAGCCATACAAGGGTTCAAACAGACAATCTATACCACAATCTGAATTTGAAGTCATTTTATTATAACTGAAAAACTGATAGTCACTCAACAAGAGCTTGGATCACAAACTATCTATCAAATACTCTTAATGTGCTCTTCTCCTATTTTCAACACAGCAGAATGTCTGGTCAAACATGTCACTACTCTTATGTTTTTATTACTGATAGATTATTGTATATAACATTGAACTGGTCAAGTTGAAGCTGACATTATTTAATTAACAGATTATATTTCACTTCCACCAACAGACTGAAAAGGGGAAAGAAATATCAATTTGGAATAAACAATTTTAAATTCAAAATTAAATTCAACACTATTTCCTCAACAGCAGCACAACTTTAACAAAAAGGAAATGTTCCTCGCTGATATTTGAAGCATAATTTGGATTTGTAATGAATAGCTGTGAAAAGTTATTCACCTTGAATAACAGTGTAAGAAATGTCTTTTAAATAAAACCAATCAAGACCCTAATCCTGCGATTTGGGAAAATTCCTGCATTTTGACAAATGAAACTGTAAATAACTCATTCCTGATTGGTATTTACATTATTCTCTAAATTTTCTCAATGAATCATTTACATCAGATTGTAAGAGCAAAATTACAAGTTCTTTTTTCCACAAGGTAAATGTCCATAGAAGCTCAAGAAATTTGATGAAATACTTCAATCTGCTATTATTCAAATTCTGACCCAAGCAAACTGAATCTGTCTTTCAGTGAAGGAAAAACAAATTCAAATTCGGTCAGCAATCAGCTAACAAGACGTTTCCACATAAAGATGATTGGGCCGCACCCAGGATTCACCAACACGGTTCATTCCACCAATATCTTGAAAGTTAATGTGTTGCATCTGCAGGGGAGCTCCATCAGTTCCATCTCTTCTTTGCTGTCGCTCCATTAAACTGGTGCTCACTGCCTGCTTGTACATTTCCTTGGGAATTTTCAAGAACATGACATCTGCAACGACACGCACAGAGTAGTCTGGGATATACTGACCCACTGCTCTCACATTCGGGTTACTCATGCTCAACGACGACACCAGTGCTTTTGCTCCAAAGAATGCGAAAGGACCTTCTTCGAAGGTGAGCTCTTCTTGCCCGATTATAACTTCCACTTTGCCTCGAATGATTAGTGTGAAGAATTCTCCTACAACGCCCTTCTTGTACAAGTATTTGTGGTTTATATCACCTTCATCTTGAAGTTTGATCTCTTGGATAACATGAGGCTTGTTGATCAATCGCTTTAGGATGCTGAGGGAAATAACATCTTCACTGAATGCATCGACAGCTGTTGAAAAAAAAATAAGTGCAGGCAAAACATTAGAAGGAGCCTCCAATTACACAGTTCAGAAAACGCTGTATTGCATTATGCATAGTAACCACTGCTACTTGGCCTCTTAAAAGTTTCAAAGAACAAATATTGAGAAATACATGTATCTACAAATTTTCACTTTTAATGAACTGAAAAATTAACAGCATCAGAGAAATGTCCTGCTCAATTGCTTTTATTTGATGGTAACACAATGTATACCAGGCTTTAATTCACTGACTCAAAACCTTGGATAGCATAATAAACAGTATCACAGGAAAGCACTGCTCAGTAGCTTTCAATTTGAGTAGTCACTCATTAGGGTTTTATCTAGATACTAAGAACAACTCAGAATAGCCTTGTACACATGACAGGAATGCTCAATAGCTTTCATTTGAATGGTCACACACTAGGCTTTCATCTACACACTTGAAAGTAAGAACCACTGGCTTGTACAGCATTATAAACAATACCACATCAAAGTACTGTTTAATAACTTTCATTTGAATGGTTACATATTAGGGTAAAGTTACTAGCATGAGAATGAGGAAAAACAAATTTCTAGTTTCATGATGAAAATTTAAGCTTGTTACCTGTTGCAAGATACTGTAGTATTGCGAGCTGCATCTGGGGGGAAATCTTTGGCTTGTCTTGCTCTTCAGAAAATAACGTCAGGTCTTTCATTAGTCCCTTGCGACCAGGTATGACTTGTCCAGACTTGTTGTCCACTGTTTATCAGAGAAGCAATACATGTACATAAACAAAACGTTAAACGCTTTCGACTAGTGAAGAGGACCAAATAGATCCATTTTATTGACTAGGTGTAATGCCCATACTACATGTATAAATTATGGACAAATAAACCATTTTCACGACCAAATACATACACGTCAGGCTTAAAAAAGAGTGAAAAGAGAGACTGAACAGCTGAGAGTACAGACCTAACTAACAACTAATACAAATTTTAACCAATGGGCAATTCCAGAAAATATCCATACCCAACCACAGACGGCTACACGTACATGTACATGTTGTTGCTTTAGCATTATGGTCATCAAATGACAGAGAAAACAGCTCAAACATAAAGCTTCTGGATTATTTGTTCAAGATGCTTGTCTTTGTTTTAAATACATTACTGACAATACTTTCAAGAACCATTCTAATAAATCAAACACTTTATCTTTCTTTGAATATTTCATGGCAGCATAATATATGAACTCCTAAGAAGCTGGCACTTCAATATTATAAGTTCCATAATATTGCTCTAAGAACTGGAGTCTGGCAAGTCAGTTAAATGTTCAATAAATGGCACCAAAAATATCTATCTAATGTAATTTTTTGAAACAACAATGCAAAATCACAAACAACAAAGGCCATTCAATTCAATACATGTGTTGTAATAATCTGTATTGTGGGAGGTAATTAAATTGTAACGACTTTGAGGTTTGACTAAATGCCAAATGAATTCATGACATTATTAATAATAATGAACTTTCAACCATAAAATCACATTATGATTTAAGGAAAAGGCCAGAATTTTTAGAGACACTTGCAATGTTAGATAATAATTCTGTTTTACCATCCCAACTAGATGAGAACAACACAAATACACAGAAACATACACACAGAAAAAGCCTTCAAATAAAAAGACGTAATCAAGGAGTAGATATTTGTAATTAAAGCAATATTGCTGTATGCTCTACAACAATATTGAAATATTATTTTGAAGAACTGAAATTTGCGTGCTGACAGTGCTTTCACGTTTATACATTGATAACATCATTTTTAATATTATCCCATTTTATTCTATTTTTGCATTCAAGATCTCAATAACTTAACCCTGAGATACACCTTCAGAGAGTTTAACTTTGATTTGCATGTACCTTAATATTTAAAAACAAAGTAATGAGGTTAAACCACATAATCTTATTTTTAAATATCCTCAAAACCACTAGTTTAGTGTCTCATGAAAGATCTTATAATTAAAATAATTTGTCCCAAAAATCCCCTAATAATAAGGATAGAATACTTACAATAGATGTCTGTCTCATCGACAATTTCTGACTGGATAATTTCTTCTAAGATGTCCTCCAGAGTGACAATACCAATAGCTTCATAGAAGGGGTCTCCACTACCCTCATTATTGACGCGCTGGACGACTGCCAGGTGCGAATGACCTTTTTTAAACTCTTCAAGCATTTCATCTAGATGGTTATCATTGAAAACACGTTGCACCTGATGATTGTAAAACTTAATAACTGTGCGCAGAGGGGTACAGTCATCAGAATCAATAAAAGCCAAATCCTTCACCAGGAGTAGACCCACGATATTATGCCGCTCTCCATCATACACTGGTATGCGACTATGCCCTGATTGCATAATATGCGCAATAGTTCTAAAATCAAGAATAGATGACACATCCAGGAGATAGCAATCCTCCAACTTGGTCATGACCTCTTCAACTGTTTTGCTCTTGTAGTTCAACACCCCTGAAATAATATTCATTTCATCTCCCTCTAAATCATTGAACTCAGCTGTTACTCTCAACATCTCCTGCAGCTGTTTCTTGTTGTAAACTGTGCCGATCTCGGCACCTAGTATCCAATCCAAGATCCTGCTAATTGGGAATGACACTGGAAATGTTACAACCATGAAAAACCATGTGATCCATCTGGTGTGAGCTCCAACAGCTAAGCCATGTCTGGAACAAATACTCTGGGGTATAATCTCTCCAAATATCACAATACCAGCAGTGGAACCAAGGACCGCGGCGATTCCATCGCCGATTATTCCGTCTAAAAGCACTGTGAACGAAGTATTCACCAAAACATTGCCCAGAAGCAACGTACATAGCAGATAATTACCGTGTCTGCGTAGTGGTTCGATACTCTTCGCGTATTCTTGCTCGCTGGGATTGCCGCAGTTCCTGACAATTTTAAGCTCTGTTTTATCAAGCGCCATTAGCCCCAGATTAAGACCTGAAAATAGGCCTGACAGGGTCATCAGAACTACGATGAATACTATTTGCAGCCAAAGAGGCAAACCGCTGCTCTTTCTGGTAATTTTAATCTGAAGAAGAGAGTCTGTTGTACCACCTTGGTGCAACCACTCGCTGCCATTGCTGAACTGCAAGCAGACATAGTACGCTTGTTCATCACTCGTCGATGGCAAATTAACTTCTGCTTCTCCTTTATATTCCTGCAATCCATCCTTTTTAAACGATATGGGCTTCGTTCTATCAGCGTCGCACTTGGCCTTAAATTTTCCCGCGGTCGTTGTGAATGCAATACGAGTATCGCGCGAAAACCCCACACCGTAGAATCTAAGCAACACTAAAGTGTCGGCTGTTATCGAGACTACACCATCCTCGATGGACGATTTGCCATCCGATTTACCTACCGGACTTATTCCTGTCAGCTGTACTTCACATTTTGCACAACCAGTGACTGCATAAGCTGCTAAAAGACAAAAAGTGGAGACATAAACATTGCAGCTTGCGGCAAAAATGGCTGCCATCCGAGACTGAAAATCTCGTGATAGACGTCACGATGTCAACGTAAGATTCCAAATATGGATTTGAGGTATCTTACTTTGTTTAAATTATCAATTTTCTCTGTCATTTACATGTGCTGGTCCGTTAGCTCAGTCGGCAGAGCGCGGTGCTGATACACCTGGATCGCGGATCCAATGGCTACGCCGAGGTCGTGAGTTCGAGCCTCACACGGACCAGAGTAAATTTTTTTCCCTTACCAGTCCAACTTTAAGAGGCCTTTTTAGTGTTTTTTTTTTTCACTTTAACGAAATGAAAACAAACACTAAAAGTAAACAAAAACAAAAGCAATTTTTTGATTGGGGGGGGGAATCCTTCAGGTTCTATAAAATTTCTATTATAAAACTGCTGAACTCAGTTTCTTCAAATACAGTTTTAATTATGGTTTGATGAGAAAGCGAAATAACGATATCCGTAAATGTTGGGTAGGCTTAGTTCATTTGATATTACTGTTATTTTTTCCCTTGATCTTGCATTGTTTGCAAATCTGTGGCACTATCTGCCTCATACGACTATTAAATTAGTTAGAAGACTAAAATTGTCGCTTGTTTTCCCTCTCTTAGCAAAATCCCAAAAAAGATCTCACAAGTTTATGAAAGAAGTCAAAGAATGTCTGAGACAAGTCGTTTCTTTGGTGATTGGACGAAAAAAATTTAGGCGTTGCATTCCAGAAGCATAGTCACGTGACCAAAATAATCGATATTTCCGTTTGCAGCTTGGAGAGAAATATTTCCAGCGCATTGCCAGATTTACTGCTTGTGGTAGCCATCTACTGTTCTCATTTGGGGACAAATTTCTGCCACCATGAGTCGAGGTACAACCACAGTGAGCGGTGACATCAAGGTAGAAAAGGGCAAAATGAAATGGGATCCAAAAACATTGGAAATTCGGACGCATTCGGTCGAGAAGACACTTGAGCCTCTTGTTCACCAGGTGAGATTTCGGTGTTGGACACGTTTATCTTGTTATTCAGTCGAGAGTATTGAACAAAACCCAGGATAATCCGCTCTACTATGTCCTTCAAAGTTTCCAAGGGAGTAGTTTTCTGCAGTTGTTGTTGTCGTTTGCTAGGAGAGAGTGTTCGTGAGTCGCCCGGTCACTTGTCGGTCGAACGCTGAAGATATTTTTACTCTCTGCGCTTTTCTCAGCGTGAGTGTTTTACTTAAAACAACGTAAATTAGTTTTGAGAAAAGCAATCGAAGGCCCTTTTCTATAAATACTAGATAATATAATCTTTCAAATTTACTTTTTGGTGGACAGATGTGTTTATTTCATCATTTATGGCGGATAGTCGCTGTTATTGAGTTGACTTCTCAGCTATGTTCACGATCCAGCTTCTAATGCGATTTTTAATTGCAAATTTGAATTTTTAGGGTGTCGACAGGGCATTTGTGGTAAATATTATGTGCTTTACGATCTGTGGCTTAAGCGAATTGGGATGATATAAGTTGTAAGCCGTTGATAAGCTGTTTACGGCTATGTACAATGTTTTTATGTACCGGTATTTTATTACAAACAGATCTCCGATCACTCTGAGGGTGAGGTCATTTCGTTTGTAGAATAAATCGTAGAAAATATGTAACAACTGATTTATTTGTATTAAATATGAAAAATGCTGTTTCTGGGCTGGTTCTGAATTAGGAAATCGAGCCAAACCTCAACGTCAGCTTTATCAAATTACGTTAGCCCAACCTTTGGTAATATTTGCAATTAGGCTGTCACAAAAGGTTAAATCAAGGATGACTTATCTTTCGTTCTTGCAATTACAAAGACATCATTTTCATCCCATGGGGTAGATATGGCTTCTCAGTTAGATCTAGAAATACTCTATGGAATGTTGTAAAGTAATTGTCAGCTCCTCAAAGCGAAATAGAGGAACACTTCTGTCAGTTACAAGTTTGTTTATTATACCCTTCAAGCTATGCCTAACAGCTATAGGACAGATCAAGGCCTGATAAAACATTTCCCTGGACTTCATCAGTTCTCAGGGAAAATAGTACAAACAGACTGTGGGAAATATGTGACAACTGTTACACCCCTGTGCAAAATTCATTTTTGTGTAATTTAAACTTCTAGTAAGGGCGTTGGTCACTACTGTACTGTGATCAGTTGATCGTGTTTAACTGTACTCTGGGCAGGACTTGAAAAAGCTTGAATTCTAGCTTGCCTTAGAACAAGCAGCTCTCAAAGTTTGCTTTCCTTAGGCAACTCTGAATTACTTTTTTAGTTTTTAGTTGGCAGACAACTTTGCCTGGGCCTTTGCCTACTGGGCAGGTGAGAATGTTAAGTTACTTGCGCGATAGGAAAATCTACTTGTCCCAGACAACTGAACTGCACTTTTTCGAGCTCCGACTGAGGGGTGTCAATTACGGCCGGGAGGCAGACAATCTCAAACTCTTAAGGGAATTGAAAAATAGTTGAAGTAGTTGAAGGTAATTAAAATATATCCAAGAGAAAATGATTTGTGTTGGAAAAATTTGGGTATTCAAGGTAACCGAATTCAAGTTAGTGAAGTTCTACTAGATTGCCATGGAAATCAGGGCTTCATTTGTATGTAAGTGTTAATATTACTAAATGCGCATCAATTTTCAGGTAACAACCTTGGTTAACCATCCTAAGAAGAAGGGAAGCAAGCTTGGTAAGTCCAAGAATGCACACAAGCTTGCTCAGGACATTGAAGATGCAACAGCACGGCTGATAAAAACTGGAGAGGACATCGCTCAAGAGTTTCCTGAGATCAGAGAAGAAATGTTAGCTGCATGCAAGGATTGTCGCGGTGCAGGTGGGGTTTGTAGCGTAATTTTGAGTGGAGAAACAAACCTTGACTCTATGTTGCATGTATACACTTACTAGTTATGACCTGTGTGCTGTAAGTGCTTATTGCATTATGTACATGCATCCAATTATTGAAGCAAGATTTATGCATTCTGTTCCATATTATGGTTTGATTTTGTTGTTCAATATCACCCCGTTTCCCAACAAATTCAACGTATGGTGGAATCCCAATTTTTCTAACCTCCAAGGGAAAGGAAAATTGGTTTAAAAAATCGTTAAGTTCAAGAAATCAGGGGTAAAATTACCGTGTTTGACTCTCAGGAAGGGAAACAATTTTTGGTTCGAGTTATCAAGAGGTTAAAAAACAAAAAATCGAGATTCCACTGTAAATCAAATTTTATTTTCAATTCAGTATAGGATCAGAATGCTAGAGATCTGTCAGTTATTTAGTACCATGCTCATAAGACAAGGTTACTGAGCAGAAATATTCTAAAGGTGTCACATGCATGTACAAATCAGTTGTACTGATGTTCCAAAGGTGTCACACACGTGTACAAATCAATCAAGGTGTCACATACGCGTACAAATCAATCAAGGTGTCACATACGCGTTTTATCAATCAAGGTGTCACATATGTGTGCAAATCAGTTAGTTAGGAAATATTTTTACTCCCTCCCAATTGTACAATGTCTATGAATTAAATTTTCTTCTTGATTTTTCTTTTACTGTAGGTGATTCTATGCGTGTAGCAGCCAAAGAGTTTGCAGATGATCCATGTGCCTCAGCCAAGAGGGCCACNGATCAGAGAAGAAATGTTAGCTGCATGCAAGGATTGTCGCGGTGCAGGTGGGGTTTGTAGCGTAATTTTGAGTGGAGAAACAAACCTTGACTCTATGTTGCACGTATACATTTACTAGTTACGACCTGCGTGCTGTAAGTGCATATTGCATTATGTACATGCATCAAATTATTGAAGGAAGATTTATGTATTCTGTTGCATATTATGGTTTGATTTTGTTGTTCAATATCACCACGTTTCCCAACAAATTCAACATATGGCGGAATCCAAATTTTTCCAACCTCCAAGGGAAAGGAAAATTGGTTTAAAAAATCGTTAAGTCCAAGAAATCAGGGGTAAAATTACAGTGTTTGACTGTCAGGGAGGGAAACAATTTTTGGTTCGAGTTATTAAGAGTTTAAAAAGAATCGAGATTCCACTGTAAATCAAATTTTATTTTCAATTCAGTGTAGGATCAGATTGCTAGAGATCTGTCAGTTATTTGGTACCATGCTCATAAGACAAAGTTATTGTGCAGAAATATTGTAAAGGTGTCACATATGTGTACAAATCAGTCGTACTGATGTTCCAAAGGTGTCACACACGTGTACAAATCAATCAAGGTGTCACATGCGCGTACAAATCAATCAAGGTGTCACATACGCGTATAAATCAATCAAGGTGTCACATACGTGTGCAAATCAGTTAGTTAGGAAATATTTTTACTCCCTCCCAATTGTACAATGTCTATGAATTACATTTTCTTCTCGATTTTTCTTTTCCTATAGGTGATTCTATGCGTGTAGCAGCCAAAGAGTTTGCAGATGATCCATGTGCCTCAGCCAAGAGGGCCACAATGGTTCGAGCAGCTCGAGCACTGTTATCGTCTGTCACAAGGTTGTTGTGTGTCGCAGACATGGCAGATGTGTACCGGCTCCTGGCTTCTCTGAAATTGGTTAGTTGATCATGAACTGTGGTACCATCTGCTTGTATTATACTTTTTGCTGTTTGTGTTTTATTTTTTCTTGTATTTGATAAATGAATTACCTTTGTTTTAGGTGGAGAAGAGACTGAAGGAGCTAGAGAAGGCCAGCAATACAGCAGACTTGTTGAACTCCTTTAAAAATCTTGGAAATGACTTGATGGACTTGGCAAAGCTGTCTGGAAAGAGACAAGCTGTGAGTGAACAAAATCTGCTTTTTTTTCTGTAATCATAAATGGTTTTAAACCCAGGAAGAATAACTTCAGAGTTACAAAAAGATGATATCTGGTCAGGTTATCAAAATGTCAGTCACTAGCAACAGTCTTTTCTAACTACAGTTGAACCTCTACCAATTGAGAGATTTGCTGTTTAACCCCCATTAATAGCTACCTCTCTCCACAATGGCCAGTAAACTCCATCCCCAAGGTGGCTGTTGTTGAGAGGTTCAACTGTTATACATGTAGTTAACTGTCACATAAATGAATACTCTAGTCAGACAAAATTTGTTTAATTATTCAAGGTCCTTTGGCAGGGGTTTCATTAAGGGCTTGGCACCAGACAAATTGACCTGTTGTTCAGGACAATTTTGCCTGGCTGGTTTGACCATCTAGTGGAAAGTTTCCGTACAAAGAAGTTCAGTTCTGTTGTGTCTAAGCGCTGAATAATGAGGCTACTTCGTGAATAAAACGGCCGACTGAACTTTAATGTTTACTAAGCTAAACTTAGTTATACAATTCCAATAATCCAAACATGCATGCAACTTGACTATTTAAGGTTCTGCTCTGGGACATGTGTTACGTAATATATCTTACATAACCATTACACCTAATAAAGTTTCCTATTGTGTAAACCTAATTCATTAACACTATAACAAGTTCTAATAGTATGTCCCAACTGTGAAAACCAATTGTCCTCCCGCTGAAAATGTTAATGAAACCTCTCCTTTGGATAGTTGTAGTTTAAGAACTCACACGGTTACTATTAGAAGCTAGGTGGATAATAGGGACAGAACGTTTCTTCTTTATAGTACTCAAATTCACATGTTGTTTTTGTAAAAATAGGATTTGAAAGACCCGCAGAGAAAAGATGACATGGCTGCTGCCCGAGCCACTCTGAAAGAGTCCAGCAAAATGTTGCTGTCATCATCCAAGGTGAATTTTAA